GCTGTTGGTGACGTCCTGGTTGGGGTAGCCAGGGGTGTGAATGGTGCCTTCGGGTGCCGAGAAAACGCCCCCGCATCCTACAGGAAAATAATAAAGATAATGATAATAATAACAATAATATAAGGGTTTGTTGTCACTGACTCTTGTGACCAGTAAAATTGTGGCTTGTAATGATAATAACAATGATGTAGGGTTTGTTGTCACAGACTCTTGTGACTTCAGTTAAACAGTGGCTTGTATGTTTATTGTGCTTCTAAACTACACCCCCCCCTCCCCCTGTGAGCGAGGGAGGGTCAGCAAGATTGCTATACCAGAATGCTACCACTGCACTACACAGCTTTTAGTAGAATTTATAATTTAGTAGAATTGGTTGTTCTTCCATATAGTGTTTTTATTTTCCTTTATTGGCTTGATTGATATTTCTAGATATCATACAGAACAGCTCTGCGATAATCATAATTTGTACAAGAATGAATGAAGGAAAGTGAGACAGATAGAAAGTGTTTTGTACTCAGAATAATTATATAGTTCCTATTTAGTTTTATACAATGTATCAGGGTATTACTTACACTATATTTCAGTTACCCCTTACGATACATTTTCTATGTACATGCGCCACCAACCGGCAAGTATGTTGACTACTAATCCTTCCTCATACAAGATCTTAATTAAACAAGCAGCATCTTACAAGATCGCGTATAATTAACCGAATTATAGAAGGTCATAAGAAGATCCAAAATTACAAAGTTGGCGAGGAACATGGGATTACAACAGAGGTTTTAATAAAGCAACATATTTATACCTTGCAGGTTATTATATGGAATACTAATGAAATATAGTTGTGCACAAACACAACAGAAAGAAAGAACAAAAGAAAGATAAGCAGATAGACAGGAAGAATGTAAGAACCAGAGTAGGAAAGAATGTAAAAAAAAAAAAAAAAAAACAGTAGGAAAGGATGAAGAAAAGAAAGGGTAATTTTCTATATTACGTCCGATACCGATATCGATATCGAAACCGATATCGACGATTATGTTATCGTTGGATTCCTCTCAATCTATACAATGTAAATTTACAGGTTTTATTGCTAGGAAACCCCCCGTTAGCGACAAACTTGGCCCCGATTGCGGGGGCGACGATGTCGGAGCGGCGGACGTAATATTGAAAATTACCCTAATAATATAACCCACAGTGAAAATAATCATGGTTATTCCCATGACTTTCCACTGCAGGAAGCTGCCGCCCCTCAACCCCCGTCAACCACTTATTCACGGCAGGATAGAGCGCACACGAACTAGATGCGGAGTCGATAACCTACAATAACCTGGGATTTTTAAGGTACTAACCTAATTGATAGATGCCGCTAATAGTGGGGAGGGCGCTCCTTTGCCGCAGAGGGTGAAGGAGCCAGGGTGCGTCCGGCAGGAGGTCCTAGGCCGGAGGATACAGCGACGCTGCAGCACACAGGAAGTGGTGCAACCTCACATTCAGGTCCTGGTAGTGCATGAGGAACATGCACCGAGCCAGGTACCCTGCGAAGTGCTTCTTCCTGCGGCCATAAACATCTCTTACATTTCTTCCTGGCTTGTACCTATTTCGCGCAGGAAATCCGTCTCCGAGTACGAGCACCCTCCACAATCGGCCATCGCGGCGGCTATGACTGACTTCTGAACGCGACGGTTATTTCGGTTAGGAATACGGATGTCGTTGTTCCAGAGGACGGGAAGCTCGACCTTGAGGCCATCGGTGTAACATCGAAAGAGGCGCAAAACCCGCCGACGAGGGCGGGCCACCCTGTTCATCCTGATTATACTACAATCGTCTCTTTATACAATGCTGACTATGCCAAGGTTAATTTGCTGATTCAGTGGGAATGTTACGAGGTAATTGTAATATGACGCCCGCCGCTCCGACATCGTCGATGATTGCGTAACGCTCTAGCCTACCGTGAATACGTGGCGGAGGTTTTGTTTGCTCGGCGAGGGTTGGGGGGCGGCAGCCCCCCCCCAGGGGAGGTCGCAGGGGGCGCAGCCCTCTGCATTGGAAAGTCATGTGAATAACCATGGTTAGTTTCAAAGTGCATTGAATTAATAGTGTTATTTAACCCCGCATTTTCTCTGGAACCTTCCATGCCCTCCCCTGCTATCGGGGCCAAGTTTGCCGCTAACGGGAGGTTTCCGAGCAATAAAACCTACATATTTGCATAGAGGAATCCAACGAGCAATTCGATATACTTTTAAATAAAAAGAGAAAGAAAAAGGAAAGACGGAAAGAAATAAGGAAAGAGAAACAAAAAATATATAGAAAGAAAGAAAGAAAGAAAAAAAAAACAATCTAGAAAGAAAAACAATCAGAAGAATATAAAAAGAAAAAAATGCAAGAAAAAATCGACAAAGAGAGAAAGAAAAAAACATCCAAGAAACAACAACAACAAAAACGTAAGCAAGAAAGAAAAATATAAACAACAGACTGAACCAACCTTTCTTTTCCTTTCTGTCCCTCTCTCTTCCCCCTTTCTTTCCTTCCCTTTTTTTTTAACACAAAAGAACCATTAAACTAACCATCACGTAGAGTCCTGTAGGTTGCATTGAAGCCCTTTCCCCTGACAGACTGGTCGCTATGCAGGGAGAGGAAGGCCCTATTGCCCTGGGTAGTGGCGATGATGGGGTTCGTCTGCCGGTGACACAGCGTCTGCAGCTCTGGCGAAGACGCGTCAGGGCCTCCGTAGATCTGGCGAGAAGATGGTGATGTTGACTGTGATGGTGATGATGTTGACTGTGATGGTGATGATGTTGACTGTGATGGTGGTGAATGTTGACGGTGATGGTGATGGTGGTGGTGTGATGATGGTGGTGGTGGTGATGTGATGTGGTGATGTTCGTGTTCATGTGGATCTGTCTGTCTGGCTTTAGGTACTTATTCAATCTGTGTGACTTAGCGAAACCCTCGCCCTCATCTCCAGACACAGTGAAACCTCGCCACAAAACCTTCACACCTTGCCTCCAAACACAGTGAAACCCTATCCAAAAAAACCTTCCCCTTACCCCAACCACGAAATCCTCGCCATAAAGCCTTCTCCTGCCTCCAAATACAGTGGAACCCTCAGCACAAAACCTTCCCCTTACCTCCAACCACAAAAACCTCTCCACAAAACCTTCCCCTTACCCTCAAACCCCAGAAAACCTTCCCCTTACCCCCAAACCACCACAAAACCTTCCCCTTAACCCCAACCACCACAAAACCTTCCCCTTACCCCCAAACCCACGAAACCCTCACTGAAATGCCTCACTAAACACATAAACCTCACCACAAAACCTCCCCTTATCCCCAAACCAAAAAATCCTTCCTCTTACCAACCACCACAAACCTTCCCTTATCCCCAAACCCCAAACCCTCACTAAAATACACAAAACCTAACATACCCCAAACAAAGAACCTCACTAAAAACCAAAACCCTCACAAAAACTCCCTTACCCCCAAACCACCACGACCCCCCCACTCCCCAGCAAAACCCTTCCCCTAACCCCCTAAACCACACGACCCCCCACCCCCACCAGCAAAACCTCGCCCACGAAACCCTCGCCCTTACCTTCAGCGAATCGAAGACGCAGTTGCCAAAGCTCTCCAGATCGAAGTCGTGCACGGTGATCTCGATCTTGGTGCCCGGGGCGGTGCGGATATGCCACTCGCAGTCGGTGTTGATCGGGTAGGCGTTCGGGTAGTTCGGGCTGTGGAAGGACCCGCTTGCCTTCGTCAGCTCGCCTCCGCAGCCTGGATCGACGGAGGAAATGGGAGGGAGAGAAAGGGGGAAAGAGAGGGAATGGAAGAGAACGGGAAGGAAAGGGAGGAAATGGGAGGGAAAGAAAGGGAATGAGAGAGAACGGAAAGAAATGGGAGAAAACAGGAGGAAAATGTAGGGAATGGGAGGGATAGGGTGAGAAAAAAGGGAACGGGAGAGAAAGGTAGGGACAGAGGAGAAAGAGAGGGAATGAGAGGGAAAGGGAAGGCAAGGGAGGGAAAGGGAAGAAAATTTGTGGTTTATCTTATGTTATTAGTTTTTTTTTATATCATCATTTATTTAATCATTATTTCATTCTAAATATTATGTATCTATTAATTCATTGATTTATTCATTTTACTCCTTATCATGCATTTCACATTTTCAACATTTTATATGCATATATTTTTTACATTAATAAGGTACTTTAAATGACCGTAGTAGTATCTTCAACACCCCCCCCCCTTCTAGCTCAAACAGTTCTGATAAGACAATTAAATTTGATTCATATGCAAATAGCTACATACAAGGGGACGCGTTATTATATTTTGCTCCGACTTCTCTAAGAAACTGACTCAGACTGTAGTTTTTCCCATGCTGTTTAAATTCCTACATTCTAGGTAATCTTATGTCTGTTAAGTCTGTTTAGAAATTGTGCTTCTCTCCTAGATTCTAACAGTTTAAGTAATCTTGTCTCTAACATTCTAGGTAATCTTGTTTGTTAAGTTTATCTAGAATCCATGTGGTGTTCCTAGATTCTAACGGTCTAGGTAATCTTATCCTTGTTCGGCTTATTCAGAAATTGTGTGGCGTTCTTAGAACTTAACGATCTAAGTAATCTTATGTCTGTTAAATTTGTTTAGAAATTGTGTGGCACTCCCAGGCAACGCTCTAGGTAATCTGACCTTTGGTAAATTAATAAACTAAATTAATTTGTGCGGCGATCCCCCGATTCCACCGCTCTTAGCAATCTGACTTCTCTGTTAAATCAATCAAGTTTATTTGTACTCCCCTATTCCAACGCTCTCGGTAATCCAATCTCTTTGTTAAACGGATTAATTAAACTCTAGACCATCTTTCTCCTAAATTAAATCCCCTCTTTGCGTTTCCTTACCGTTAACGACCCACTCGAGACGAAATCCGTTGTCGGCCACAATGTAATCGCTGACGAAGTTCACCTCAAGGACGTTCATGGTGGGCGAGGTGCCGATGGGCGGCGGTGGGTGTGTCCTGCAGTAGTGCCCGATGACGGAGCGCCCCGCCTCGCTGCCCCGCCCCTCACGTAGCTGTACAGGTAGGGCGGGGAGAGGAAGAGAGTTTCAGGGAGTGGCAGGGAGAGGGAGTTTCAGGGAGTGTTAGGGAGAGGAAGGGAGTTGCAGGGATATTAAGGGAGTGGAAGAGCAAGAGGAAGGGAGATTAAGGGAGTTTCAGGAAGGTGCAAGGAGAGGAAGGGAGATTGAGGGAGTTTCAGGAAGGTGCAAGGAGAGGAAGAGAGTTTCAGGGAGTTTCAGGGAGTGGCAGGGAGAGGGAGTTTCAGGGAGTAGCAGGAAGGTGCAGGAAGAGGAAGGGAATTTTAGGGAGTGGCAGGGAGAGGAAGGGAGTTTCAGGTACAGGAAGGGAGTTTCAGGGAGTGGAAAGGAGAGGGAGTTTCAGGGAGTGGCAGGGAGAAGAAGGGAGTTTCAGGGAGTGGCAGGGAGAGGGAGTTTCGGGGAGTGTCAGGGAGTTGCAGGGAGAGACAGAGAGAGGTTGAATAACGTTCTTTGGGTTTCCAGTCAATGTTTTCATTATCATTATTACTATCAGTCTTATCATTATTGCTATTTGTTATTCTATTAATATTTCACTGGGCTGTTATCCTTTACTACCTCATTCTACATTTAGCATATCTATTTTGGATACTTCCGAACACATCAAAATCAACACATATCGGGCTACAGTTCATATGTGTATGGAACAAGAGCCTATTTTTACCATGGTACACGCACAGTAAATGAGAATGTGGGTATAAATCCCTATTTATTACCTTACACACACGGTAAATAAGTGTGTGGGTACCAGTGCCTATTTTCTACCTTCTTACACACACGTTAAATACGCGTGTGGGTATACAAATGCTCGTTCACTACCTTCTTACACATGGTAAAGATGCGTGTGGGTACAAGTGCTTGTTTACTACCTTCTAACACACACGTTAAATGTAGGCGTGTGGGTAACAATGCCTAATTTCTACCTTCTTACACACATGGTAAGTGCGCGTGTGGGTACAAGTGCTCGTTTACTACCTTCTTACACACACGGTAAGTACGCATGTAGGTACAAGTGCTCTTCGTCAGAAATACATGTATTTATGACGAAGATATAATCGAAACAGGTCAAATACATCTCTTGTATTGCGAAGCTATTCATTCTCATTCATACCTTTTCTACATTTGTCAACATGAATACGATTAGTACAAGTACTCGTTTACTACCTTCTCACACACACGTTAAACATACGCGTGGGCATAGAAGTCTCTATGTTCAACTTTCCCCATTTTCTACGCAGTCCCAACTCACCTCCACGAAGTCGAAGTAACACAGCTCGGTCTCGGAACTCCTCGACTCCTCCAAGACGAAATCACTGAATGAAGCATTGATCGCGTTTCCTTGGGGGACTCTGATCGTCCACGTGCAGTTCTGGTCGTGGGGATACGGGTTCGGGTAGTTGAACGAGGTTATGACCCCTCGTGGACCCGTGATCACGCGGTTGCATACTGAGGAAGACGAAGGGGTGGGTATGCGTTAAAGGTGGATATTTTTGTTTGGGTGTGGGTAGGGTGGGGCGTAGTGTGGTGTGGGGTGTGTGGGGGTGTTGTGGGTGGTGGTGGGTGGAAGAAGAAGTAGTAGTAGTAGTAGTAGTAGTAGTAGTAGTAGTAGTAGTAGTAGTAGTAGTAGTAGTAGTAGTAGTAGTAGTAGTGTAGTAGTAGTAGTATGATATATTATATGTGTGTGTGTGTGATGTGTGTGTGTGTGTGTGTGTGTGTGTGTGTGTGTGTGTGTGTGTGTGTGTGTGTGTGTGTGTGGTGTGTGTGTGTGTGTATGTGTTGTGTTGTGTGTTGTGTGTGCGTGCGCGCGCGCGCGCACAACAGGAACAACGAAGGGAAGAACGAAAACACACGAATACGCATATTCGTGTATTTTTGTTCTTCTTCGTGTTCCTGATGCAATTGTTGACATGAATTACACTCGCGTGTGTGTGTGTGTGTGTGTGTGAATATAAGCATGACTAAGACAATTCTACTTACTAAAACAAAGACAACCCCAAAAAACCCTCCCACCAACCTCTCTTCCCTATTCCCCTCCCCTAACCCACCCCCTCCCTTCCCTTCCCCTTACCCCTTACCTGCTGTATAATGCGCCTTGAATCCTCTCGAACTGATAGTATGATCCGCAAGGAAGGAGATGTACATCGTATTAGAAGACGAATTGTAACCCACGAAGCGGTCGGCTGTTGCGCAGTGACGTCCAAGCAGTGGGGCCCTCTCGTTGTCACCGTCTCGTATCTGTGGCATGTTGATATTTTAATAATGGGCATGCTGTTAATGGGTATTTCTATAATTAATAATGGGGATGTTAATATGTTAAGAATGGGCATGTTATTTATGGGTATGTTAATATCGTGATAATGGGTATGTTAATAATATCATATGAATGGGGGTAATAGTGGGCATGTTAATAATAGA